AGAGTTTGTTGAGATCTTGCTGTGTGGAAACTACTGTGAGAGACTTGAAGGTAATTAACTTAAAGACCCCCTCCCATGACAAATACTGTGAGAACGTAATAGATGCACCCTACCAAGCTTTTTCATCCATTCCTGGGTCCATAAGCCCAGTTTACTACTACCGGTATAGCTCACTAAGAGTCTAATCATAGCTTATTATTTATCGCCTAACAGTCTTGAATTCATGCAGATGGTATGAAGCCACTTAACACTGAGCTGTTATGTAATCCTCTAGAGTAGGAAACCAGGAGATAACAAGATCTCACACCTCTTAACACCTCCATTAATAGTTAGGTACCTGTCAATTTAGCAAACTTAGCTCATTGCAAAACTGAACAGCAATTTACCAAACTTAGCTCATTGCAAGACTGAACTTAGAATTTAGCTAAAATGGTCCCAAAGTAATTTGTGGAATGAGTGACATCTTGAATAGAAATACTGGAAAAGCATAAAATCTCAAAAAGATTTATTTTGATTACATGTCATATTCACCTGGTTTAAAATTCGCAGATTTTTATAAATTTACATATGCATTGATTTTATGAGAATTTTGATTTACAGTTTCAAATGAATCACAAAAATTGTATTTATTGTAGGCTGAATCATTGAACTGACTTATCCTATACAAATTTGGTGTACCTATACATTTACCGATATATACGGTCTGTGATTAAATACAAAGATGCTTAGCTTATCAAGGTTGAACTTACTCGTGCACAAACTAACAAAAGGTGTGAATGTATGGTCGACTGTTTACGAAACAATTCAAACAAACCGAAAAAGGTCATGGATACTGACGAATGTCAGCGATGGGGCAAAACAGAAATAACAAAAATTCATGCATACAAACACACCAAAAAATTTTGGAATTTCCAATTTAAGCCGTCTTCTAATCAACCCAATCTACTGAATTTAAAGAAACAAATATACGTCTCTGTGGTGTCTACGAACAAAACAGGCGAGAACTAATTAATAAGTGGAACAGGGAGACCCACTCACACGTATTCAAATTTAAACCAAGTACAATTTGGAATACAAATAATATATCCATAACAACACAGATCAAATTAGGACTATTTAAAGTGTGAAAAGCACACCATGGAATGAAATGTCATTGATTTGATAAAATGTGAAGCAAAGACGAGTATTATTGGTTTGTGCTGCTTGTGTATCTCTCTTAATTTGACCTGAACAGTTATCACTTAGAGACGAACATAAAAAAAAAAAATATGCGCAAGTATTTATTTTACTTAGTCATTTTTATATTTCTGTTTTTTGTGTCATTTTAAGAAGACATAAGAGAAGATGTGAACATCTTACGTCATTGTAAAAAGGCATAAATATGACAGGGATTAAATCGCAATATGGAAAGAAACATATTTTTTAATACTGTTGTTCAATACTCTATACCAAATCGGATTAAGATTTATCATAAAATAAAATTGTTATTTTTGCATGACACATAATATTGGTTAGAAGACAAATCAAAATCACTAATGTGCATATGAAGTGAAAATCTGATCTACAAATAAGCTTCAATTTTATTTTTATATACCTTTATTTTATTATTGTTATTTTTGTTTATTAATGACTATTTTTTGTTTACTTATTGAATTATTGTTATTCACTTGTTATTATGTTATTTTTTATATTCTTTCCCGGCCTCTTTAAAGTAGTTGAGATTACCGAGAAAAAATATTTAAAAAACCTAATAATTGTAAGTAAAACCATAAAGTTTTCATAAATAAACAAAAATAACAATATAAAACTAAAAATCTACTCAGCCATTAAGTAATAATAACGCTGGCGTAAAAACATATGTGAATATGTCATGCTGGTTTAAAGGGCTTAAGTTCAGTATTGAGATCATTCGTATCAGGTGTTGCAAGGACATTGGGGTCTTACATGTTGAATTTTCAGGCAGTTTAGATTGTTATGTTTGCCTGTATGTAACTCAAAATAGAGTATGTGTGGGGATCGAAATCGGTACTCTGAAATGCACCACTGGAATGATTGAAATTATTGCCGTAACTTCATTTTGAACCCAGAATGAGGCAACTCGGAGGCACACAATGCTTATTTTGGGAAATGCGTTGCCGCATTCTGGAAGCGCAGAGTACTGATTTCGAGAGTTACACATACCTCCAAAATATGTTGCTTGATTTCAACAACTTGATATGTACCCAGAATTGTCAGCCAATATTGCTCGATTGAAAAATTACACAAAAGACTAAAAAATACAATCAACTAAAACTTAGCCTAATTATGAGTCAGCATCATTGTGTTGTTATCCAGTGGCCACCATATATACGCCTTTTGTAAAATAAAGCTGGTGTTACTGCAAGATTATGAGTTCCTTATCTTTTTAATTAAATTTTTTTAGTGGGATCATGGTTACTGACACACACAGATTCAAACGAGTAATTACCTAATTGATTGTCAAGAGTAAATAGGATGCAAGATTAATCAGGAGTACAGTTATGACATCATCACTTGCGATAATGCAGTGTTATATATATCGATGTGATTATTTTTTATAATATTTTTCCAAAATGTGACCATTAAACCATAAAAACAATTGAATTTTTGACTTCAGAAATGTTTACATTTTTGATATTTTATAGAAAGTCACAATTAAACATGTTCAGAGATTTTGAGATGAAACGCATAGATTGGGTAAATTCTGAAGTTCACTATTATGTGTCCTTCATTCTAGACAGATCATGACCTAACGAGCATCATCAGTATGGAAATGTTCACATGAAATTAATTCAGTCGAGCAAAAATAGTGAAATTAAAACGCAGTGAATAATTGATGCATTTACAGATTTGTCAATCAAATTTATGGGACTTTTCCCTTGACTTGTGGGAAATTAGTCTTTCATAAACTGTTTTACATATTTGAGACGATTGTGAACCTGTTGATGGCTGAACGTTTAACCTGACAAATTCTGTTCAAAAATACTTCTTTATTCAAAAGAATGTTTTGTACAGACAAAAACTAAAATACTTGTAAAAATACTCCTCTAAATACTGTTTAATTCTAGGCAAATTGCCTGTAAATTCCAACAAATAATTTGACAATAGAAAACTAGGTTGTCTTCTACGGCTACTGGATATAGTGAATATAAACCTGATACCCAGCAGTAATTGATTACAGAAATAATTGTTACTTGGTCCTCCTTGTAAATAGTCACATAAGTGTTCTAGCTACTGCAAGATATTAATACCTTGAAGTCTATTAGTAAACTATACAGAATCTATTCACGCTATCATCCAGGTGCAGACACAGAAAGCTTACATGCAAGAAGACGTTTATGGTTATAAAAGCTTGGCCATTCTCAACATTTTCACTATGCATTCATTACAGAAGCAGTAACAGAGACTTGTCTACAGAAAATATGACCCTAGGTGTCAATATACTGTCAAATAACTAAAAGCATGTGAATAAAATTGTTTACCCCATGGCGGCACTATCCTGTGAAGTGATTAAAACTGCGGTTGTATTTACTTATCCCAGATTTCAGATTATAATGAATATCAGACAAAAAAAGTAAAAATACCAATGTTTTTTTTTTTTGTGGTAATAAAAATACATTTAATATTAATAATAATTGAAAGATTTAGTTGAGTAATTTAGTAATATAAATAAAAACAACACAATTCTAGAGTTTACCATTATAAGGAAACGAAAACATTAACATTAAAATGTTTGAGTAAATTTTAGTAGTAAAATATTTTGCCTGCAGGTATGTTTTATTTATTAATTTGACATTGATATGTATCTCTAACATACACAGACATCACTAATGGCTTGTACATATATCACTAGTATCAGCTGTTACAATGATTTTTTTTGATAATTTGAATTTTGATAGTCAGAATAGGATTTCCTAACAATGAATCATTGTGCTGGGGAAAGTGTATTGGGGGATGTTTGTACTGTTAAGGTGTGGTTTTATTATTATTATGTGAGTTGCGTGATACGTGACTCGGCCAACGTTGTGGCAAATTTTAGCGGAAAGGGATGACTATAACCAGCTGTGTATCAACAGACTAATCTGCTGTCATGGTTACACATTTGGTAGACAATTACTGATACAATGTAAAAATCTACATGTTAAATGTCCTCTATTATTGACATGCTAAATGATCAAGCCTACCCCGGTACATGTAGCTATCATGTTCTCTTTGTATATAATACATTATACACAAGAAACAGCAACTGCAATACCAATTTTGTAAAATTTGACGAGAGATATTCATTAGATTTTAATTTCACTGGTTTGTGAATGAAACAATACATTCTATGGTTAACTTATTTAATTTAGCCCATTTTCATATCAACAAAACGCTGAAAAATAAAACTCAACAAATAATAATCCCTATACTGTAGCATAATTAGGCTAGGTTTACTCTGACAAATGTGAGATTATATTGCAGATGAGACATTCCTCTTAACATACCTTTAACAATAGAATGGAGAGTTTACACTTTAGAATTTCACACCATAACGTTTGGGCATGGTTAACATGAGTGTGTGAACTACTGCATTAACACACATAGCCATGACTTTAGGGGGGGTTATTTAGCAAATATGAACACCTGGAAGCTGCAAATTTGATCTGCCACCTGATATTCTAACGCTTTCAGGTATTTTCTGACATGGTGGCAACAGACCCAATGTTATGATAGTGTTTATGACCTTACCATACCATCATGAATTTACATGTCCATACTAGTAGTAGTAGCAGCTGAACTGGTTTACATACAGAGCATACAGCATTTCATTCCCGATTTCATTTTTCCCTCAGAGTGTTAAAGCAAAAGCTTATTTTTCAGTTTAATCTTGTAGATAGAAGAGAAAACTGAACATATTTGAGACCACCACGTATGAAAGTTGATCCTACCTAAGGGTAGAAGCTAAAAACATAGACAACACAACCGGTAGGACTACTTACCAAAGTGAGAGTGATATAGCGCTATTCTAGACCGATGACTATAATCTCAGTAGAGTTTCTCTGCGACAATTTAATAAGCCGGCAGAGGGCTGCTTAGATCTACCCGTTACACTGCGAAATAGTTGCCTTCACAGAGAGGCCGATTGGTATTGTGACTACCTGTTAGCCTCAATGCATGAAGAAATTTGCATCTAATTTGCATATGAAAACAAATGCAAGTGAAAAGCGCCATGCTCACTCACCTATTGTTATTACGATGGCAAACTGGCATATACATTGCCAGGCTAATAAAAGGAGTGCATTCCTATCATTGCAGACACTGAACAAAGAAGTATTATGATCAATTTAAGGTGGTGCATATGCTTTGATGATGTAAATCAACTGCCAAAAATGTCAGTGAATAAAACCTATTGATTGAAAAATACAGGCTGGGCTATGTGTCACACACAGACACGGACGAGGCGGGCACACCCATACATACCATCAAAGGTCTGCCCAGTACTGATCAAGCCCCTCTCGAAAATGGGTATACTTCTGTTAGCTCATACACCTACCTATATGTAAAATCATCCTAGTACAATTTGTCATCGTGAAATTCAACTGTCAATCAATATAGTTATATACATACATATATAATAGGTACCAATCTGTCCGGAGTACTTTGACGACACCTTGTGAATCATCAAGTGCAGAAATAAATAAGAGACTGAGACATCTATAGAAGTTAACCCCCATACACTAAAGTGATATATACCAGTACTAATAGAACACCCACTAAAAATATATCCTGTGTAAATCAACAACGTACATCCCAACTCTGAAATACATAATTCCTTTGATTAGACCAAGGCCTTGCTTAAATAGTACATAAAATGTTGCATACGTTTAGAAACAACAAATTAGGTCACTTCCGCCATGAATGGCCAGAACTAGTAATTTCTAACAGTAGCATACTTCAATTTGTAACATCAATCTTTATTTTTTATAATATGCTATCTTGGATCCTTGTTTGTGAAGTGAATAAGCAAGTTGATAATGGGCTACGAAAACAAATGTATTGTAAAATAATTTATTTTCACTTGGAATTTATAATTAGTGAAAATAAACTTTATACAAAAAGAGCCAATATATTTTTTGAGCAAAAATTCATTCCAGCTATAAAAATAAAGTATTTGTCAGTAGTATGACCACGCATGGCTATAGAATTAGTAGATCCTCTATGGAAACCCAGTAGTATATTTAGAACAAGCTTACAAGCATCCAATAGAAAAACTCTCAATAACCTTGACCCCATTAGTAATTGTTGGGGGAAACAAAAAATTAACCATAGACCCTCCTGTAAAAGGAGGGTCTATAAATTAACCAACTAATTATCTCAGGTGTTTTCCATATTCAAGCCCCTGCCATCTACCTAACAAATCATTGCCTATATTTGGATGCATTCATATCTGAGGATTAAAATAGGAAAAGAAAAAAAATGTCAAAGAATTGAATGTAATTGAAACAGAAAAACAATAAAGTAAAAACATGCACATGAAAACACTGTGCTAAGTTTAAAAAAAAATCAGTTTAATGTGTCAGAGACATGAGGGGGATAATTGAAAAATAAACAAAAAATATTCCAGCTGGTTAAATTTCATTGAAACTTCACAACGAAATAGTTCAAAAAATGTCAAGAGAAATTGCTACAAGGATACTTGAAAATAACATGCATCAGGTAATGCGTGATGTTCACTCTAATTTTGAATGAAATTGACCCAGCACATCCGAGTCATTCAAATTTCAATGAAACAATTAAATTAAAGTGTATAGCATTATGACTTGTCTTTGCATGAACTTTGAACAACATTAATCACAGTAACTCTGAGAAGCGGTTGAAGATGCAAGAAAATAAAACCAACATGGTCGCCAGTTAGCCATTTTAAATTAAATCACAAAAACAAACCGACGTGCAACAGTAACCCATCATGTTTGCAGTACATACCAAGAGTGAAATGTCAATAAAATTGCTCCAAGCTTGCTTGAAAAACAATTGATAACATATGGCCGCCAGTCATTCAAGGTAAATGAAAATGCTATTACCACATGTCTTTGAACCAAAGTTGAAAAAAAAAAAAAACAGTACAAGCATGTCTTAGAAATAACATTGGATTGACCATTGGATGTTTCAATTCCAGTTCCAAACTTGCATGCTTAACAGGAACTATATAATCACAGAAAGTAGGAAATACGCATCTGGCAACTACTTATAAATATATTATTGTAACGTGTAAATTTATTTAACAGACTGTATCAGTTCTGTACTACCACAGTACAGTTGATATCTTTAAGTAGATACTGGGTATAATTCAAAAATAATATCTAGGATTTATATTGTACACGATGTGTTACTCTGTCTATGTATGTGAACCACAAATGTAATGGGATACATTTCTGGTAAAAAAATCCTACAAAAAAAAACATGTACTGAAGTGCATATGAACCAAAAATTGCATTAGCTGTTCCAGGAATCATTAAAATATTACTTATTTTGACCAAATCAAAAAAAAAACTTACGTGAGCACATGCACTAATAGAGCAAATACAGTAGTATGGAAAAACAACGCCAACTATTGTTATCAGTTTTAAGAATATTCATCAGGACGAAATTTCACCATACTCACTGCAAATATGACTCCAAAATTTTATGGTTTTCTTGACTTGTGACATTTTCCTAAAGCCAATAACAGTATTTGTACCAAACTCTTGTCACTTGAATCATTGCTCTAAGTGCTCATTACTGTGACACCTATTGTCAGTATGCAAATTAGTAAACCTTGACACTTGCGTTGATATTCAACTTAGCAAACCCTAAACTCCGTTTTGAAATCTAAGCCTTGTAGTGGGTTATAAGATTCTATTCCCACAGGAGTGAGAAACCAACTTCAAACATGGC